TCCAAAAGGCACGAACCTGGGTCTGCAAAGCCCCCCCCCCCCCCCCGCCCCGCGGGGGGGCCGGGGGGGGGGGCGGGGCCCCCGCTCGGGGGGGGGGGGGGGGCTTTGCAGACCCAGGTTCGTGCCTTTTGGAGCCATTACTCAGCCTGGATCCCACTGCAAGCCTTTTATTGATCTCCAGGGTTCAAGCCAGCCTGCCTTGGGGATCAACTTGCCTGGCTCTCACCCCCCACCCCAGGGTGCCCCCATCCCATCAGGGGATGCCCTGGACCAGCCTTTCCCAGCTTGGCTGGCCGGAGATGATGGGAGTTGTGGTCTCTGGAGGGAGTCTGAGGTTAGTACTTCCAACACACAATGAGGGTGCTGGGGTGGCTGGGGGAGATGGGAGTTGTGATCCCAGAGTCTCTGGAAGGGCACTGGGGCTTGTAGTTCCAAGACACACACAGGGGGCTGGGGTGGCTGGGAGTGATGGGAGCTGTGATCCCAGAGTGTGGAGGAAAGAAGGGGGTTGTGGCTCCGACCCACAGAGTGATGGGAGTGATGGGAGTTTTGGTCCCGGAGTCTCTGGAGAGGCACTGGTGCTTGTAGTTCTGAGGCGCAAAGAGGGCGCTGGGGTGGCTGGGGGTGATGAGAGTTGTGGTCTCTGGAGGAGGTCCGAGGGTTGTACTTCCAGCGCGCATTGAGGGGGCTGGGGTGGCTGGGGGTGATGGGAGCTGTGATCCGAGTGGCGCTGGGGCTTGCGGTTCCAAGACAGACGGAGGGCGCTGGGGGTGATGGGAGTTGTGGTCCTAACGTCTCTGGAAGGGGAGAGGGATTGCAATTCCAACCCATGCGGAGGGCGTTGGGGGTGATGGGCGCTGCGGTGTCCGCACTCCCGGAGGGCGACGGGTTGGGGAAGGCCCCGGGGCGGCTCGCCCTCCCAAGCAATCCGGCTTGTAAGGGGACCTCGGGCCTGGCCCCTCACCTCCCTGGAGCCCGTCACGCTGGTGTAATAGACCCGAATGGCAGCCATGCTCGCCCGGGACCTGGCCACGCTTCTCCCGCCCCCCCGCCCTTGCTTTGGGGCCGCACCAGGCCTGGGGACACGGTCGCTCCGAAAGGGCGTCC